AGAGAGAGAGAGAGAGAGAGAGAGAGAGAGAGAGAGAGAGAGAGAGAGAGAGAATTGGTCGAGTGTAAAACTTTTTCCGGACTCGTTGCGTAGGTTTTCATTTAGAACCGAGTCAACGGACGAGTACGTACCAACATTTTTCTCGAAGATAGATGCGGTCCCTCCCCTTAAGCTCCTCCTTGTCTGTTGCAGGACGTCATTTGCTAGCTGCACTTCTCGTCGCAGCTGTTCTATGTCCGCGGAGATTTCTACTTTCTCCTGCTCAAGTTTCCTCCGTTCCTCTTCCAGCGATTTCGTTCTGTTCGCCAAATCCGTGATAGATTTGCGCATGTTATCCTTCTGGGCGATAAGCGCACGGGCAACGAAGGTCGGGGGAAGGCTGTGATGAGTAGCCACTTCGTCCGTCAGCTCGTGGGACAGCTTGCTCGGATCAACTACCTCGAAGAGAGAAAGCAAGCCCTTCTCGGAGAGAGTCCCTTTCTTCAGAGTGATGAAGGACAAGAGGGCTCTGAACAGAGTGTCGTGATTTGATCGTGCCTCCGCGGGCACTGATGACGCCAACGACTTGATCGTCTGCCAGTTGAGGGAGTTGTTTGCAATGTTTGGATTGGCGCTGGGCGATCTGCAAGAGCACGCGAGTTCCAAGTACTCGTCCAGCACTTTGGCTACCTTCTGGTGATTGGTAGGGGAGAGATCAGCACTGCCGGTGAGGCCGGCTCGGGACGCATGAACCTGGGCCAAGGCCTGGACCTCATGCATTTCTAGATGGGTCAAATCTTCTACGTCGGCTTGGTCCAGCAGTACACCCGCGGTTGCGATGAGCTGTCTACGGCACTCTTCCTCAGCATCACAACTCTTCGCAGCTCGGAGCAGACGTATGAGAGCATCGGGTTTGGAAAAGACGTCGACGATGGTGGCGGGCTCCCCTTCGCTGACAGGGAGCAGTGAAACCAGCGTCTCGACAATGCGACGATTCCTTCTACTGTGTTCAAAATCGTCACTTACTTCAGGAATCCAATACCTGTAAAGCCAACACCAGACAAAGACAAGACACCAGACAAAGACAAGACAAGACACAAGACAAGACAACCCAAGACAAGACAGACAATACAGTAAGTATGACGAAAATTTCATGATGTCATTCCGTCAAATGTCTAAGGTCATCGTGATCGTGGATCGTTTAGTTTTTCTAAGTTCTGGACTTGGGAGAGGTGGGCGATGTTGATCGCTCTCTCGTTCTGCTGGATAGTGAAGTTACGTATGAAAGCACCTGCTCTGATGGTGAGTGGCTCATGATACGTGTCTTTCCACATGGTCTGTGAGTGATTTCACTTCTGCTGTTTCGAATTGCGATGACGTACATTCCAGGCACGAGAGAAAGCGCGGACAAAAAAAATGAATAACGGACTGAAACTCTCCGTGTGCCATTAGCAAGAGACGTGGGCACTATCTCCCCTCGGCGACCAACTCAAGTCTCAATCGATAACAGAGTGACTTTTGTAGGAGCGTGCTCACCCTCACAAGCTCTTGAATGCATCTGACCGTAATCGCAGCTCTACTTGGATGCATCAAGCCGCAGTCCAAAAGTACGTGAAAACGTCCTAGTGTGAGTATGCACCAAGTGTGCTCCAGGTACCACCAGATGACCAGAACAGTCTGAACAGGCATACCAGAGAGAATGAAAAGACAAGTGGTGCACTGGTGGTAATGTCGAACTGTTTCGTTCTTGTCACTGAGTTCAGTTAGTTCAGTGAGTTGCGGGAAATCTGAAGCCTCTACAGTATGGAGAAACGGTCAGAAACCGTAACCCCTTAAACACAAAATCAAGAGTCGTCGTTAAATCTGAACCCTCTACCGTCACCCCTTTAAAAAATAAAAAATAAAAAAATAAAAAAAGGTGAAGGAACGTCGAAATATTAGCAACAAACAAAGAAATAAACAAACAAACGAACAAAATAAAGATCCGCAAAACCAATTACAAGCGCGCCGAGCTCGCGCACCTGCACATTCCAGTGATTCCACTACTGCCGTAGTAGGGCATACTCACACTAGGAATTTCTCGGATGCATATAACCGCTTTTCCGGGCCCAAGTGGATGCACCTGACTGCAATTACCACCACAGAGAAGTGGAAAAATGTCATAGTGTGAGTATGCCCCCAGAGCGCCTGTCTGGGAGTGAAGGTTGAGCTGTTCTTGTCTGCAAACGACACTAAAATTTGGACATGTGCGACGCTCTTCTTCTTACATTTCGGTTTCGTGCGAGGGTCTCCTCGGTCTTGTGTGAGGGTCTTCTTTGAAGGGAAGCAATCACCGAATCAGCCGAGCATATGCGTCCGCACCGCTCCGCTACCTCCAGTGAAAGCAATCAGTCGCGGTCGATCGATCAGCCAAGCAAGACGACGATGTACACCTACTACACCTTTCTCACGCACATGTCCAAGCACAGCCCTACATTAATTATAAAATAATTCGCAAATGCACTTTCATTATTATTATGATTGTTTGACAATGGGCGAGGATTCGACAGTGTAGCGGATAGATCCTAACCTTGCGTACGCGTCGATAGATCTCCCGATCTCCTGCGCAGGCATCCCAGCTCGTCGCAGAGCAGCAATCAGGTCAGCGTAGAAGTCCAGGTCGAGCGACAGCACGGATTCTGAGAGGTGAATCCCTTCCGCCGGGGTGGCGGAGCGGTTTGGCCTCACCTTGGAGGGAGAGCTGTCCGTTGCTGTACTCAACACGGAGGAGGAGGAGGAGGAGGAGGAGGAGGAGAAGAGCACACACAACTTGCACAGCTCCAGCATGCAGCGATCGACCAGGCCGCAGTCTGAGGCAGCAGGCATCAACCGCTGGCAGTGATGGAGGATGGATATGGTATCCTTCCAGTCGGCGAAGAACTTGACCAGCGCTCTCTCCGTCAGAGGAACCAGGTTTCCCTCTCTCATTCCTGACTGCGAATCGTCGTGCATTTGAAGGAACTCCGCTGCAACACCAGGGTTCATCACATCCCCCAAAACACATACACACACAGTGTCACACACCAACAACGCACGCACACCAACGTCGCACACCAACGCACGCACACCAACGTCACACAAAACGCACGCACGGATGCGCAAATGTCAGGGACGAAGTCAATAAACGTCGCACACCGTCACACACAGCAGCATGGCCGGTGCGTGGATCACATGACTTGCATCAATCTACAGGGAATGCCTACCGTCTGCACCCGAATAGAACGCCCGGTCATTATCGCAGTATCTGGACTAGAAGTTGGGCCAAATGCAGGCTATCATGACCGGGCGTTCTATTCGGGTGGAGACGGCAGCTCAATTGCTGCAGCCATGATCCGTTGACGTACAGACCGGAGCTCGAATCCAGGTGAGATAAACAGGAGATCATCATTGTGAGGATTACCTGGACCCGGCCAGCTCAATGATGCCACGTGGCAAGACGACGCGTCTCGATATCCACATGGCCGAGTACTCAAGGTCACTGTTATTCGTAGAGTATCCAACCTCCGCAACAACCTGGCCTTTCCTTTCAAGGAAAAAAAAAGAAAAAAGAAAAAAAAGGCACTCCATTGCGACGAACAGGGCAACTTACATTCCATTGCAAAAATAACTAATCAAGTGATAGAGGATTCCAAAAATACCTCGTCACGTGATCGAGGCTAAATATACCGGTAGGCACGTGATCGAGGATACGTGAGTGGGTTGATAATGCTCTATGAGAAATGCATTCAATCCTTTCTTACTGTTTTTTACTCTTCAAAAAAAAAAGAAAAAAGAGCAAGAGAGAGAAAAGAAAAGCACCCTCTGAGGTGGTACCCCCCTTTTGGGGAGGCTGTAATCGAGCAGGCGACAACAGACTCATAGACATTCTCAGTCGAAAATCGAGCCGCCATGATCAGGCGGACAAAAAACGGGAAAAAAAAAAAGAAAAAAAAAATCGGAAAAAAAAAACGATCACTCGGCTGACCATTATTCAATCACGCACATACCATTACTCAACCGCACGGTGAAACTTGAAAGCAGAACACGCGCAGAGTTTTTCTAATACTTAACGTTGAACGTATATAGCCCTCGTCCCTACAATTAAAAGCAAGAGCTGTGAAGAAGAAGACCAAAAAGCGCAATGCACATACTCACACAAAGGGACGACTTTTTGTACTAACCTCTGGACGTCATTGTAGTCAGATTCATCCCAATCTGCACGCAATTGCGGTCAAAATCATCGCTGGAACATTCAGGAAAGCGGTCGTTTGAGTATGCCGTTAATCAGGAAGAGAACAACAATGGAGAGAACTTAGAGAAGGAAGCTGTGGGACAAGATCGGAACGTCCGCTTCGTCCCAATCGATCGAACGTACGGTCATTATCGCCGAATCTGGACTGAAAATTGTCCCAAGACTCCCTGCCAACCAAATGCAGCAGTAATGACCGTACGTTCTACCCGGGTGAAGCTGGTAGCAGCGAGGCCGCAGCTCACTCTGGGAGTCTGGGGGAATACCTGCGCATCGAAGGGCCGCTACGTTGTATGGAGATACGTCGATGTCAAAGCCATAGCAATAGTTGACGACCTGGACGAAGATCCGGTCGCCTCCTGGAAGACCCGCCAAGTCGGCAGTCGTCCTTCCTGTCCTTGGCTCATCTTTGGCTATCTCTCGCAACCGATCGCTCTTGGAGTACAAGGGGAACTTGTGAACGTTAAACTGCACGTCGTTGATCGTCACCAACAAGTCGCTCTCCATGCCCGCAATCTTGTTCCAACGTCTCTCCATTGCCTCCAACGCGGAATTGGTCACTTTGCTGCTGCCCGCGGTTGGCTGTTGACCGTGCGAGTGTGTCAATGCCGTCGTCGTGTTCGCGCTGACAGACATCGATTCGCCGCTCGCAGCCATCACAGCTGTACTCATCTTATACTGCTCCTCCTTCCTCCTCCTTCGACCTCCTGTTCTTCCTCTCTGCCGCCTGCTGCTGCTGCTGCTGCTTGCTCACAGCTTCCTGAGAGAATGTTCTAGTCCTATCCTCACTCCCGCTGCCAACGCTGCGTTCGTCACCAGCTCTTCGGTACTCCTCTCTCTCTCTCTATCTATCTATCTATCTATCTATCTATCTATCTATCTATCTATCTATCTATCTATCTGTGTGTGAGTGTGTGTGTGTGTGTGTGTGTGCGTGTGTGTGTCTGTGTGTGTGTGTGTGTGTGTGTGTGTGTGTGTGTGTGTGTGTGTGCACACTCTGACAAGACTACGCGGCAATGCGCCTCCACGGGCCCTGTGTCGCCCGTGACTGTGTGCGTCTGCAGACTCTGCAGTTGCGTGCGTGAGTTGCTGTGTCGTATGCGAGTATGGAAGCCGTTACAACGTGCAGCCTGACTTCCCTCGAGAAGATTTTCAACGATGGATGTGACCGCTAAGTCTTCAGGATGACCTCAGCAGGGTCCTTGGCACAAAGTCAATCAAGCACGGAGTCGACGCTGCAGAATAGACGCATGTACTTCAGAGTGACTCTGAGTGACCGACTACTTGGCTGCACCTCCAATGTCGAGGTGCGCGGAATCAACGCGGAGTCAACGCGGAGTCAAAACGCAGCGGTAAGGCTGTGGTAGCCAGTTCTTCCTTTATTTCTCTCCGTAACCTGAAGAGAAGGAGAAGAAGGGAAAGACAAAAAAAGAGGCGGCCTGGGCCGAGGTCCCACTAGCAAAGAGGAATGGACGTGTTTTAAGCCCATTTGCTGAAGAGCAGTACAATATCGATTTTCTGCACCTTTTCACAAACGCTTCCACATTCAGTTGTTCAATCCGATCCTCTTTGCTAGTGGGACCTCTTCCCTGAAGCCAGACAGCCACTCAGTGACTAGCAACCTGGCACTGACTGCGACCGCTACCCGTCTTCCCCCGAGTAGAACGTACGGTCATCATCGCTGTTTTTTTTTCCTTTTTTTTTCAAAGAACAACACCGGGGAATGCTACAGTCGACCGCTACCCGTCTTCCCCCGAGTAGAACGTACGGTCATCATCGCTGTTTTTTTTCCCTTTTTTTTTTCAAAGAACAACACCGGGGAATGCTACAGTCTTCCCCCAAATACGACGTACGGTCATTATAGCTGAATTTAGACTGAAAGGTCCACCAAATTCAGCTATAATGACCGTGCGTTGTATTCGCGGGAAGACTGTAGGGGTGCTGACTGAAAGCTGGCCCAAAGACAGTTTTCATGACCGTAGGTTCTATTGGGGGAAGGCCCGGGGCCAAGTCCCACTAGCAGCGTTGAGCTCCCTCAACGCCTGAATCTGGACGCTTTTGCGGAGATGTGCAGAAAAGGTGTTGAGTTTCCTGAACTGCACGTCTCCACAAACACGTCCAGATTCAGGCGTTGAGGTAGCTCATCGCTGCTAGTGGGAGATGGGGCCCCGGGAAGAAGGGTACTGGCTGGGTTTCCACTCCTTGGTTACCGTCTTGACCAAGCCATCAAAAAAAAAAAAAGGGAGTTTGAGGAGCGACGTTTGGTTCCGCCACCCACTGACACTGACGTATCCGTGACGCCCCGTGAGGATGGCCTGACTGTCGAATATTTCTTGAGGAATATCGCTTGAAATGTCGTATACGGAGGTCAGCCGTCACTCTCCGTCTCAACTTACACCTCAGGTCATAATCACACAATCAGTCCAGTCACGCCCAAAGGCCGCCTTTCATTTCGCCCTCTTGAGATCTCACTCGGTCAATTCTTTCCGTCTTTTTGATCTGCATACCCGGGCCCCCACCGGCGTCCCTAACCCTGCAGCCTAAACGCTAGGGCACAAGGGCAAACATGCCGTCACCTCTCTACACCAAGAGAGGTGACCTCCTTTCACGAAAGACAGGTAGAAAGCTACACTTGCAGAGTTCCCCTGTATAGCCTTAGGAGTAGTGGTAAGTAGGTTACCGTAGTGAAAGAAAGATAAGTTCCAACAATATGCCAGCAACCGTGCACCCGGTTGCGAACAAAACGGACCAAACGGATTCAACAAGGTAACCATCCTCTGTCCGCATCAACTAAACCAACAACGCCGGCGGTTGGGAATTGGTACCGGGATATCAACACTTGGGACTCAAGGATCACAATCGTCCATCTACTGCATCCAACTTGATCCAAGGCCTACAGCCAACAAAGTCATTTCCATTTTGTAAATCCACGATCAACAACCAATCACTCAGCATCTACGGCTACTAGGATTTGACGTGACAACTCGCCGTGGCTGAAGAACGGCCTCGCCGGCCCGTCCGGTCCCGCTGCTCTTCCTTTCCTTCTTTCCCTCAAATCTCACAGTCCAGTCCCAGGAACCTATTTCCGACGAGCAATTAGTGAGCATCTTCTCCTCACTCATCACGCCACGCCGCTCTTCCATAACCCTACCCCCCATATCTGCAGATGCAAACATACAACGCATTTTCGTTTTGGATCCCCCATCGGCTTCGCTCCTTCCATTTCACATCTTCTCCCTTCCCTTCGTCCTCCCTTCCGCCATAACCTCACTACAATCCACTGTCATGGAAAGGAGGTTCGGCTCCAACCTCTTCACCACTGATCTACTAGAGTTCGTCGAGGAAGCCGCCTTCTGCACTTTCCAAAATGGCGAGCAGTCCTTCCTTACACGAGATCAGACAATGGAACTACTTTCCCACTCCATCTACTCAAACCTCCTCCTCTCACTAATGTTCGTTGGAACCCATCCCCTTAACTCTCTATCTTCTTTCGAGCAACCGAGAGCAAGCGCAGAGCTGGCGGATTACAAGGTGCAGCACGAGCACAATCTGCACATCCCTTTCTATTGCTTCTAAGTTCTCACTATGTCTGGCGTCAGCAAAGGTCAGATCCTCAAAATTATGGGTTAACGGCGGCCTTCTTAGCCTAGCGGAGAATCTGCCCTCTCTCGGGAGGTTACCACGCTTCATTTCCCCCCTGGCATTCTTCTTCAAGGGCTTCTTCAAGCAGCTTGTCAAGGAGACATCTCCCATCTCCTTCTCCACCAACTAGTCCAATCAGGACCCGGACCCTGGTTCAGATCGCTTACGGACCAAGCATGCGGATCTCCAATCGAGTACCAATGTGTGCCTCACTTCCCAAGAGAAGCCTCCTATCCTTCGCAGCCGACGCTTCCACGTCTCATTCTGAAGCTCCAAGACGCAACTCGCGTCTTCACCTTCATCGATCAAGAGGACCAAGATGCCACACTGCCGCAGAAGAGGAAAGTTGAAGACCCCTTCCCTAGAAGAAGAAAGGCTCACCGCAGATCCGTCGACTACGCCTCTGAATCTGACTCCCTCTCTCCCAACCGGTCAGTACCCGTCCAGCAGCTTCTTATAGTACCTCAACCTCATCAGYCGCCCACCCACATCCCACCCCTCGCTCCCTTAAGCTCTCCCAAGGCACCTAGAACAAGGAGAAGACCGCATATCTTCAGAAGTTCAGAGGTCTGGATTACATTTTCCTTCGTTGCATCATCCTCCTCTTCTTACTCGTCCTCGTCATCTACTTCCTCCTTCTCTTCCACTCACCCTTTCCCACTCTCTTCCTTCCCCAAAACCCAAGTAAGCGATATCAGTAAGCTTTAAATGACGATTGACCTAAACAAATCAAAGTAAGAGGAAAGACAGTTGTGTCATTCGGTAAATGTTCGTGACTTTTTCGACTCTGAGTGATAAATAGAAGGGAAGGGTGAGGACCAATAATGACAACCTCGCAAGGAGGATAAAGGTTTCACTAATACTCTTAGCAGTTGATTGTAAATTAGAGGAGAAAGGAAGGGAGGAGAGCARCGGAAGAGGAACAATAAAGGGTGATTGATCATAAATCGTTAAATAAATAGCGCAAGAAAATGCCCCATATGTGAATCTTATAATCTTTGTAACTCAAGTCTCTGCTTCATTGAATGATATTTCATATATCATCACACCTATGCTATACCTTCCCTCTCCCAAACTCCCAACCACCCAACCCCCCCACCCCACCAAAAAAAAAAAAAAACTTTTACGTCAGCTCATCACCCGACAAACCAACTACTCAATCGATTTTACGATCAACCAATTGGATCAGTCACTCRACTGAGTACTTGACAAATTGGAGGATTATTACACCATTTACCCCTCTCATAAAAAAAAGCAAAAAATCCCTTGTTTTCTCTCGTTTTCTCTTGTTTTTTTTTATCCATTTTACAAATTGAGGATCGTCCTTCACATCATTCTTATTCATAGGCCAGCTCATCACTCGATCAAGCAACTACTCAATCGATTTTATGATCAATCACTTTCGATCAAACACTCGATTCTGCACTTAACGAATCGGGTTATCAATTTATCTCCAACTCCTCATKCATTGCAAAATAAAAAATAAAAAGAATCGGTCAGTCTATTAATTGTTCGTGTGTCGCACGACCAAACCACTCCTTCACTTCATGCGTGTTTTGTTTCCACAAGTAAAGGCAAAATGTTATTTCTATTCTTATTTTTTCCTCGCTTGCTATGAAAATCGGTCAATCATTACACTTCATGCGTATTACTACTTCCTTCACCTCAAGGCTATGAAACACCCGCGGACGCGTCCGCGGGCTCGATCTCGGATGGTGGCCGCATATGCAGCCGCGTCCACGGCCTTCCTGGTTCGCGTCGCGGACCCAATTTTACCAGAATTTTCCTGAATTAAATAATAGGTAAAAAACAAAAAAAACAAATATGGGGTTGTAGGGAATTTTAAGCCCTACAACCCCATATTTTGYTTTTTGGAATCCGACATTGTTTAGGATTTTAAAAAAATCAAAAACTAAGTTGGATTTAAAGAAAATCAATCAATCAATCAATCAATCAATCAATCAATCAATCAATCAATCAATCAATCAATCAATCAATCAATCAATCAATCAATCAAAAAAAAAAAAAAAAAAGGCAAAATGGAATGAATTTTCCACTAGAACATGGAAATATACAGTACTGCGTGTGTCTGCATGTATGTGTGTGTGCGCCTGTGGGGGGTGGGGGGGCGATCCCAGCCC